TACTCTCACAGGACTGATGGAGAATAAACACTTTATTGAACCAAAATTCATCATTACCTTGCCACCCACCATTCGCTTTCACTGCTAATCGGGTATATTATTCCGAAAGGAATGGGAGCACACCAGTCTATTGGCTTCCTGTAGTAAAAGTTACAGGCAGACCGACATTACAAGCAAAGACTATACAGACTGGAATAGCTAATTTTGGCGGGGTTCGAGTGGTGTGGCGGTGTGGGGCGAGTGAGCCCCGTATTCGATTAGTAAGTGCCCACTCACCAAAACGGTGGGCTGAGCCTGTTTTCATAGACCTCGATAACCTAGTTAACGAGAGAAGCGAATATGCGGGTCCCAGGAAGCAGTTCAGAAGAAGTAGGAATTCATTTTCCTGACGTTTCGGATTCTATCAAGAATTCTTAACCATAGGTGACCGTGGAAGGGTGTGAGCCATGCAAAAATTGGCATTATACATAACCAAATTGCGTGGCATTCATAGTTCGTAGTGGCCAGCCGAATACGTACTATAACTATCAACCCATGTAAGCACGGCTTGGGGTCGTAATTGACACGGTGACGGCTTAGAAGTTCGGGACCGAGTCATTGATCGCCGCGATTTCCTTGTCCATTTCGGATGCGAGTTTGATAATTGCGAGATAATTACGTTCACTGTCGTCAGATTTGTTGCTGGGGGCGGCCCTTCCCACGTGAATGCATGTCCTACTCAAACCATGTTTCAGTACGCAGTATAGGAACGGAAAATCCTTGCGCTTTTTGATTGGCTGTGGGCCTGAGAACCATGACTCGTGCAAGTTGGGGCTCACGCGGTTCTCACCTCTTTTGCGGGGATTTACGCCTCGTTTAATTTTAAAATACGGCCGAGTCCCGTAGAGTGAGCTGCAACCTGGGCGTTAGCGTCTTTCCTCCTCACCACCGCTGCGTCGGGAGTAATCTCCCGGTTTCTCCGACGTAGTTGCGTTGTCCATAACTGTACCAGATCCGGCAAAAAACTCCAGCCGTTTACCGCCGTGGCAGTTACCCGGGCAATTTTGTAAACCACTGGATACGCAGACGAGATAAGAAAACAAATTCAACCAACCTAAAAGTTCGACGAGCTCTTTCGTACGTGAAGAATTTATCGGAGACAGGCAGCCACCTGCTCAACCCATTTGGAGTTGGAGTTGCACACAGGCTAGGAGCAACCATCAAGCGCGTATGAGTGAGACCGAAAGAACCACTGCCATGGCAGGAAATGGCTAGAGTCGTTTACAGGATCTGATTAAGTTATTTAAAAAGCCACTACGTCGGCCAGGCCCAGCAACAACTCCAACGACAGCGAACATGATTATCGCGCAATTATCAAGCACGCATACGAAACGTACAACAAAATAGTGGCAAGTAATGACTCGAAGGTGAACTGCCAAGTCATCTCCGCACCAATTACGAGCCCAAGTGGTGGTTAAATGAGCTGGCAATTATAGTACGCATGCGGATGGCCGCTACGAACTATAAATACCGCAAAATCTGTGCATGTCTCACACCATTCCATAGGTAACTATAATAACGGATTCTCGGCAGAATCGGAAACGTCTGGAAAATAAATTCCTTGCTCCAGTGATCGCGGCTTTTTAGTGTAAACCTTCTTAATCTTCAGTATGCTGAACTCTCACCATAGTAGAACAGCTCAAAACCTTTTCAGTCACAAGTTCTGACGAAACTTCACTGCCAGTAAATTGAAAAAAAGGTGAATGGTCAAAATCCGAACACTATGTATATAATTAGAAGGTTTGTACATCTGTGCGCTGTTA